TCCTCCCATATACTAGTTACGCTTAAGATATTGTAATGGCTACTTGATTGTACAAATAACTATTCGAGAAAAGATTTGTATATAAGTGCAAAATACATTTATAGAAAACATTGTGTTGGAAAATTCGACCGTAACATTTGTGGGTTTACACAAATCACGACAACTATTGCATATTTGGAATTCCGAGTAAATTTTCAATCACAATGATTCAGAGTGCAGAAGAACGAGTCGGGCGCGGGGAAGTGAGAGTTAAATAGGAAGCAGTAACTCCGATGAGTAACTATGTTAACAAACCAGCGGATGTAACGAATGAATATACACTTCTCTGACTTGTGCGGACAAGTAAATCAGAGAGGCAATCGTTTGTGGGACCTGTAACCATATTTAATCTACCACGGAAAATTAACCCCTCGCATTTAGTTAGTATCAGTCCCCGGGAGGACTGCATCTCGAGCCGCAGTGTTCGTAAGTTCCATGACAGTGAACGATAAAACGCGCTAAACCGCAGTCAGCTTGTAAGTCATGACGGTCTGTCTCCGTCCCCCATGGTTCAGTGGGATAAGCTGCAAGCTGCTAGTTAGTTCGCGCAAGCTGCTAGCGGTCACGGTTTCGGTTCCCTGCGGCCGACTGAGAGAATGAGCACTACTGAGGAGCCCCAACAGTGCGAGACAATCGTCTGGTGCTCTCCCGAATAAGTGCTTAGATTGTTGCGCATGTAAGCTGCTAGAACAAACCAGCTAAATTATATCTAAAATCTTCCTACTCATCAGCTATCTAAACGTTCTCCCTCACAGTCCCCAAATGCTATGTCTTACATAGATTTAATAGTTACATTAGGAATCGTCGACACAAACATCGCTTTGCTGGACCATCGCGCTCTACACGGACCACAAAACAATACGATTCATTTTCCATATCAAATCAGATGCCAAAAAGAACCGGCTCCCACAATATTCCATCCAGGGATTTGATTGGACATACTTCCAACATTTGGTCCGATCTTCCCCAACTGGGATACATTGTTCATATCCACCAATGTTTGCTAAACAATAGCACGGATCTATGCTAACATCCACTGTACCACAACCCAGCCTACTCCACATACTGTTGCCAACGGTTCTAAGAATACAAAATGAAGCTTACTCATCCAGAAGAGGCGAAAATTTCTGAAAAGACTTCAAAAGATCGGAGACTTTTCAACAATATTGTAAGTGCATAAATGGACCCCTGGGATCAAACATGTGCAAGCAATGAGACTCAAAAAGAACGGGAAGCAAAGCAAAGAAACTCCTTGTTATTCTTCATCAGAGAAGCGGCAACGGCTCTTCTCCTTTCACGGGACTCTTGGATGCATGCAGAACGACCTTCCGTGATTGCCTCGCCATTTGTCAGGCGTTTAGTGCATTTTTTGCTGCCTGCCTCTATGATTTGTAAATCTGATTTCATACCTGAATGCCCTCAATCCATGACGACCAACAGTTAACACATCGAACTTTCTCTCGACTATATTCGGTAGCAAATGAAAAGTGTCGAAACTTTCGCACACTGGACTTCGACGGTATGCCTTCAAGTGCGATTAAAATGAGTAGACCCGAGTTACCATTACTTTTGTTGGATATGTTCACCTTATCGCTACAAACTAGCTATTTCACTAATCAATGGAAACCTCGTTCATCACATCCCACGTCATAAAAGACGTTCGAAACAAAAAGTTACCATTTACAGACCAATTCATCATACTCTTTTACCATGGCCATTCTGTTTGAAAGAGTAGTCAAGAAAACGTTGATGAAGCTCCTTAATTCCCTGAACCCATTAATCATATCTCAAAATGGCTTCCTTGATAGATGTTCCTGCACGACCTGCCAGCTACACTATCTTAACTACACTTTAGAATCCCTAGACTCTGGTTATGCAATAATAATTTTGTTTTTGGACCAAGAAAAAACATTTGACCACGTAGCATACAAACAGTTGTTGAATAAAGTTGAATCCTTTGGAATCCAGAACGCGCTTTTAAGTTGGATTTCCTTCTACCTTAGCAATCGGTCTCAACTAGTCACTTTGGATGATCACCACTCTTCTCCTCGTCCAATAACCAGCGGCGTCATCCAAGGAACTGTACTCGGCCCTCTGCTTTTTCTCCTCTACATCAATGATATTGGCAGCTCCATTAAAATGACCGACTCTTTCTATTTGCAGATGATATCAAAGTTGTTTTTACAAACTCCGGCGTAATGCGCTTCAGAGCACACTAGTTTTAATTCCAGAGGATCTTCACTTTCTGAGACGTAGCAGATAAGATCCACAACCGACTAAATCAAAAATTATGCCATGTGGTTGCTCGGTCCCCGATGGGTCAATTAAACTTAACAACATAAGTATGTCCATAGGGCAGTGTACCTGTGAATTCAAAATCCGATATTCTTCCGAGTTCCGTTTTGCTGAACAAGCCTAATACCAAATAGTCGGAGCCAGACAATCCGTGGCTGGAATTTGTCACAAAATTTATACAGTCTCTGGCAAAAGGGGATTATTGAAAATTCTCACTCGTCTTATTCACGAATACTGCATGCGGAAGGTGGACAGAAAAGCTATGGAAATTTTATGTAGGTCATTCGTCAAACGGTTGTTCAATAGCACATCCAACCTAAACTATCGCGAAGGTTGCAAACAGCTTCACATCGAACCTGTCTAGTCGGGACGCTTAAAGCCAAATTTGATGCTCCCTCACAATTTGTTGCGCCAGAAGACGTACTCGTACCTAGCTAAATTAGAGATAAAACACAACAACCATCACAAACTTCGTAACAAGAAATTTACGCAATTGATAACAAGCGCTTGAACAACCATGCCCTGTAACATTTCCCCCGTCAGATGCGCTGTCTTGTGAAACAACCTATCAACCGCAATCACGGCATGTGAAAACCTCGTGTCATTCTACGTCAAACACGACAGATTCTTATACGTAGTAACGGTATGAGTCATGTTCTCAGCAGACAAGTCACCTGATGGCCCAAAAATATCTAAAAGGTTAAGAATTGACATCAACATTCATTCATGAAAGAACATGATCATTTCCGTACATACAAAGCTGTTACTAGTTTAGAAACAGATTGTCACGCTGTTGATATATATATATATATATATATATATATATATATATATATATGTGTGTGTGTGTGTGTGTGTGTTTGGCGGCATCCGGTTTCGGATTTGCCTGTCACTGTGATCAGCCACAGGACGCCTGCGCCTATAGAGGGACCATGGAAGGCTTGCGCTGCACCACCCACAGTTCCATCCACACACCCCATATCCAGTGTAAACCCGAAGGAATAAGACCGGGAGGCATGCGGATGGGAGCCACGTTTCATCAACGGAGCCGGCCTACACTCCTTCACAAGCAAACACAAACACGCTGTATTTGGGGAATCAACCGCACACAAGGCGGTGGCTGGACCGTAGTCCGCTCCACACTGAGTGCATGGAACCACTCTTTGATCCTAACAAGGCCACAAGGACCGTGCACCCCGTCCCCTCCAGCAACGACCAACTGTCTCCTGGAGCCAGTATGGATGAGGTGGTAAGTAATAGACAGGTAGACACCTTGACAACATGCACATCCAGCGCAACCGCACCGGGGATATCAAGCAACAGCCAATCGCTTGAGACGACCATATCAAATAAAATAAATCGAATAGTGCATACAGATACGATGAGATAACTGTAATAAATTAGCATATGAAATAACAACAAATGCCAACAAATCCGCGACAATTTCAAGGCATGAGAAAATGTCACAAACGCGAAAATGTTATCGAAGTATATATATATATATATATATATATTTATATATATATCGCCACTTTATTTCAGATGGTAGGTTTGCTATATTGTCCTAATGCTTTTTATCTCATATTAATGTCTACCTGAACTATCTTCTATAAACGTGCACACGTCCTTCAAACTACTTTGGTTTACTTCAGTTACATTTTCGCGATTGTAGCATTTCTGACGCCTTGAAATGATCGCGGATTTGTTGGTCAGAGGTTCCGTTCCGTGCAGGGGACGGAGGGAATGCGTACCACTGACAAGACGCAACATGGAAAAGCGACGAGCTGGTGCTTTTAAGAACCTGTGAAGGACTAGAGAGCCTGGAAGCCACTGCGACGAGCACTCGAAACATTAAAACAAAAGCCCCCTACCCATGAATACAATATGATATGTGTAGTCAAGATAGAAAACTAAGATAGAGTTAAAAAATAAAAAGTGTAAAAATTAAATTTAAATTATAGTTAGAAGTAGGGGATTTTTGATGTGAATAGATGGGGGTTGCTTTACAGCAGATTCGAAATCAGATGAGACTTCAAATGCCCGAAAAATTATTAGACGGCGGTTTTAACCAGTTGGAAGCTACTTTGAAGAACCCCCGACGGATTTACAGCAATACCTCAGTACTCATGAGTAGACAAAAGAAAATCCAAACTAAGATCTACTAAATGCGATGTGCTACATAGTTACTGTTAGTGGACGTCGTTTTTCGGCGCCAACCCTGTCCTCTGAAGAATAGGACGAGCTACATAACAGTTACCTTGTAAATCATGACGGTATGCTGCCGACTCCTAAGACTTAGTGGCACATGTTACTGACTGGCGGTTCTAGCCGCTGGTGGTTATTTGTCCGGATCCCAATGGAGGCGTACTACTGATGGCACGCGAAAGGACGAAACGGCCGTCAAGTGCTTTTTTGGACGTGAAAACTATCTGATAGGGCTTAAATACGATGGAGTTCAAGATCCATCCACCAACCACATTGTTGCAAATACCGAATTAAATAAACTGGGAAACCAAATGTGAGTGATAAAAAATCTAATCAATTCAAAACGTAATCCGCATGACATACTGGCTAGCCTGAGGAGTGTTATTAGTGTATGTGCAACTATGGATTATGTGATATGGCAATTCATGATGCACAACAATAGACGTAACTGTCACACTCACTTTTAGACCTTGCCATGGAAGGCTGCCACGGAGAAAATACATACACACATAGCCCAGTGATTCCAAATCATCTCGGCGCGATTGCTCGACACCAGCGTGTGAGTTAAGACTGGCGTAACGCGCAGTACCGATGAGTGCTTTGTCCTCTCGATACGGTATATGCCGACGTGTACGTGAATCTCTAGTAGGGGAGAGGGAACGAAAAAAAATGGTCCATCAAGAGAAAAATAAGCGTGGAAACGGAATGAAACTGAAAAGGTGGAGAAAGTTCAGAGTAGATAAAAATATCCAGATCCAAGTGAACATGAGGATGTCCAAAGAAAAAGGTAACCAGGTGGTGAGTTTCCAAAATCAACTGGAAATGTGTACAGAGTCCCAGTGGGGAGATCAACGATCAGTGGTTGATTTCCGCAGTGGTTGGCGATTCGTTAAATCACCGATGCATCTATCCGCCGAAACAGTGATCGACCGTTCGACAGAATCGCCACAGAAGCGAGAGAAATCGCATTTTCCACTAACAGATAATGCGGTCCAGACAATCAGTAGTCGCTACAATCAGCAGAACCAAAGTCTTAACATTTCCGCATATATATTCTCGAATATTGCAGCACCGTAAGAAGAAAAGAAACCGAACAGTTTTAAAAGGCAGTCGAACAAGTGTTCGTTAAGTGAAAATCCCACCCAGAACTAATGCAGCTGTTGTCCGTAATCTTGGAGCGTAACTTGATGCTGCTGCACTATCAGAAACATCAAAAGACCTACTCTGATATACTTGCACTAGAAGTGCAGTACAAATCCACATGCGAATTTCGCAACAAAGTTTGGTTATTAGTAATACCAAAAAGACAATAAATACCCCTTCCAATTTCCACTTAATCCGACATGCCGTCCCGTGAAATATTGTTGTCAATCATAGTCGGGTCGCGTGAGAATGCGGAAACATTACAAAATAAACTTGAAAGCCGCCTAAACATAATCAAGACAGTGAGCATGCTCTCACGTGGGGAACGGGGGGGGGCGCTCGCTTGATGAATTGTCTCGGGAACGATAAAAGTGGAAGCAGAAAAGATTCACAGCTGTTGGAGAAGACCTATTGATGCGAAGAGACACCCACCACCAAACCATGGGTATAACAAACCAGCGAAACAAAAAGCGGAAGTATCAACTGGGCATGGAAACTCACCACCCGTTAATTGATTGAGCGCAAACAAGGAGTAACATTCCCGGTTTGATCTTCGCTTCTCACGTGCCCCAAGGTTACAGTTACGAAGCTCAACCCGTGACACGAGAAGGTTGGACAGGGGAAAGACAAGCAAGGCACTCACACTTTCCGCTCGAAATTCTGCGTAGAACGCTTTCACTAGGCAGTAATCAATGCGTTGAGTCGAAAACATGCACAGGCACAGTTCTACCGTGTGCAAAAAGAAAGCGAATTTTTTTCTATAGCATCGTTAGTTCGCACTGTACAACCTTTCTAAACACTATCCGCGGCAAAGTAGTCCCCTCGATTGTCAGTGTACCTTGCACAATGATGCTTACAGTTTTGTTAACTTTTTTGGAGCGCACTCTCTAGGATGGTGGACAGGTCTTTTGTTGCATTGTCCTTACTCTCCTCTGTGCTTTGTAAACGACTTCCTTTCAGTGTGATTTTAAGGAAAGGAAACAAGAAAAGGTCTGCTGGGGTAGGTCCAGATAATACAATGGATGAAGCAGAGGATGAATTTGATGTTTTGCTAGACAGTTGCGGATAATAAGCAATTCGTGCCAGGATGCAAGAATCAAATCCGAACTAATAGGATGCATCTCAGACTTGTCACCCAAAGGTGGATGACATGATCCTAGCTGATACTCACTTCATCAGCAAGTTCTGGAACAGTTAGACGACGATTTCCCCGGGTCACACATGAACCATCTCGGTATGGTCATCGTCTGTTTATGTGGAATGTCGTTCAAACTTGGGCCCTCGCTGACCGACGTTTAACCGCGGTTCAAAACGCTTAGACTACACAAAGCACTGCGTAAGACTCATATAGTTCTCCTTGTATGATTGACTGATCAAATGAGATGTCTATGTAAATGTTTTGCCAAGTTTGTAGCAAAATGTCCCACACAATGTCATCCAAGCTCTTGAATTGTTATCTTGACACTAATCTGACGAGTAGCTTGTACAAGGGCTCACTTCAGTGGCTGTAGCTCGTCAACTAACAATAAGAGCGAGGCGCAGCAAAGAGCAGTTGGTTGTCTAAACATGCCACTACGTGCGTGCCGTATCCGCAGCGCGCGATCTCTGCTGGTTGCTTCGCTATTTCAAAAGTTCGCTTTCCTTGGAACACAGTAGGTTAGTCAACCCCATGTGTTGGACCCACGAATGAGCATGACACCACAGGTGGACAGAATGATTTGTGTCAAATCGGATACAGTTCATATGTACGTTGAGCAAGTAACCAACGATTATTACTACTATAATGAGGAAAGTTGGTCATTCTGGTCGCTTCTTATGTGACATGGTAAGTTGAAACGGGATGAGCAGAGGTTCGTAAAGGATCAGAGAAAGCCACCGAGTTAGTTGAAAAACATCGACCGAATCATCGAAAAGAGGTTGAGTCTGGCAGTTAGTGTATTACTAAATAATAAGCTTGGGTAACTTAAGACGAAACGCAAATGGAGGACAAAGTAAAGTGGATAAAATCGACAAAGATCGACAGTTAAGTGCAAAAGGTCGTAAGAAGGGGCATTGTTGACCTAGATTTTGAGTTGAGCAACTGGTGTGATCGATCCCGAGGTTCTCATCCACAAATATGTCAAGTGTCAGTAGACCGTACTGACGCTTCGCTGCAATATCACCACCACCGATGCCGTGTTGGTTAATTATACTGCAAGATCGCCTGAACCTAATCAGATTCGAACCAGTGACCACCGGATAAGAAGCCGAGTGCGTAATCCTTTCGGTCATCGGACCAATACGTTGAGGAACGCCGTCAAGGGGCATTTCAAAGACGTGACCACGTCAACTAGAACAGCTGAAACAATAGGGAACACTACAGTATTGCTCACCAGATGAGCAATACAGCGCAAGCATCGGAAATCAAGTAATGGTAAACCTTCAAGTAAGCGGGACATTCAGCTTGGCCGCTGCTGTTGTTGCTCCTTGGGGTAGTGTTTGTTACGCTATTTACTATGGATATATCCATGCTATTGTGCTGTTTTCGGAATTTCGTCTATCTAAACCATTCTAAAGTCCTCGATGATATCCTACACTGCCAAATTTATGGAGTCGTATCGAAACGCTGCGCGAATCACAACTAATGTCGAACGCGATGAAAAAGCCATAAACACCACCAATGTTTTGTTAAAATTAGAAAACAGCGCGCTGGTTAGCCTCAGATGCTGTCCTGAAAATAGAGATCAAATCCCGCTAATTCTCTCCAGCAATGTGCGCTGTCTCCTCAGTAAAATCGCTGAGCTTACTGCCACTATTATGCGTAAGCAAGTTGCAAATACAGGTGTCGTAATGCCTAAGAAAGTTGGCTCCACTCTGAAGTTGAGGACGAAGTTATCCAACTTAGTGACTACCGTGACATGGAAAGCCGCATAATTGTGGAGAAAGCGTCATCAGTTACATCAAGGAACTCTGGTGCAAATCGATGGCCATGTTGTTTACATACTCAACGTCAAAGGTTGGCTGTCATTCAATTGAATGTAAACCAAATTGTTAGAACGGTTTTCATTCTGTAGTCATCACAAATGTCTGTATAGCTCCTGACACATCACTTTCTCAGTTGAAGAACTTCGGAGATTATTTTCCACGGCATTATTGCAAAAACTTTAGGGTTCCCTCTGCATTGTCGTTGGTGACTTCAACAAGAGTGACACAGCATTCATCAAATCTCTCGGTCTAACAAATATGATGAAGTTCGAAACCACGCTGAACGCACAGTTAGATTTTGTCTCCATAAATAAAACTCCGTTATTTTCTACACTAAAGATGGCTCCTCTCGGCAACTCAGATCAACGCATTTTGTAACTATGCCCAGTCATATACTGCAAGACCAAGTTTGTCTCTTTGACAAGTAAAACATTCGAAGCCGTCAGACTGCGAGACTGTTCGACAGAAATATTGTGAAACTCCAAGCGAAGTTCGCTTCAACCGACTTTCCAGTTTTCAAGAACGTAAATCTATCTTTGGTGTGCGACCACTTGACTGAACAGATTAAATTCTGCTTCCATTTGTACTATCACGTTGACACCATATACCCACGGATGGATAGCTTTTCCTCTCCGTTACTAAAGCAACTTATGAGAAAGAAAGAACAAGTCTATAATTATAAAATGAGTGCGAAAGTTAAAAGACTCTCTTTAGCAATCAAATCAGAGATAAAAAGGTTGAGTCGCCTATACACTGAGACAGTGCTGGGCTCTCACGATTTTCGCGATCTCTGGAGACTTTCGAAACAGCTATGTGAACAACGTTCCCATAAGCACATACATAACGTGAATGTGAACAAACTTAACGCTGAATAGTGTTCTTCACAATAAAAGTGTTAACTCTCTGCCCCACTTCCCCAACACAGGTCAGATATTCACCTTTGACAGGTTTAATGTTTGCCGAGAACACACATTATCACCATGTGTCCTAAAGCACTGTGTACATTAGCTTGCGTGCATTGGACTACTGGGAACGAAGTATTCGAGATTTGCAAAGTGGTTCCCACAACGGGTTGGTACACCGGGGTGAGTGATTTGTAAGTTGGTAGTTGATAAGAAATCCCTTGATGCAAATGACATTGGACTTTCATTGTACCCGAACTGTGCACACTAGATAGGTCATGCGAGTCATTCCAATTATCTGTTTACCGCAGTGACATGATGGATGGCACGAAGAGAGTCACCGAAAACTGAAATGGAGGGGCTATGTATGTGTGCGCCATCGACCTGGATGTTGTTCAGGAAAGCATCCGCAACCAGATGTGCGACAGTTAAGAAACCCGTTGGGCTGCTGAATTCAATGTATCATTTCTAACTAAAGAAGTGGATATATTTCCCGACTGGGAGGGAATAAGTCCCAGTTTGTGGAGTGATCATTTGTACAGCAAAAATTCATCAACCTTTCAGTTAGGAACTTGCATTCATTATGAATCAGTGAGAATTTTCGCTGTTTGTTCATCCCCACAATGTCCATTT